GGTAGAGGACTTGAACAGACATTTCACCAAATGCATAATGACATGCATAACCCTAGCCCCAGCCTTAACACTAACCCTAACTCTAATCCTTACCCTAAACTAATGTCTAACCTCTATGCTAGTGATATTCAAATGACCAACAGGCACATGAAAAGATGCTCAACATCACCCATTGCAGTCAGGTCAATTCCAATTCATAGTGACCCTATAGGACAGAGTAGAACTGACTCATAAGGTTTCCAAGGCTGTAATTTTTACCGGAGCAGATCACCAGGTCTTGTCTCCCATGGAACAGCTGGCAGGTTCAAACTGCTGACCTTTCAGGTTAACAGCTGAGCGCTTAACCACTGTACTACCAGAGCTCCTTCACTAGCTATTAAACCAAACCAAAATCAAACCTGTTGCCACTGAGTCCATTCCAACTCCTGCTGACTGTATAGGAGACAGTACAACTACCCATAGGGTTTCCAAGGCTGTAAAGTTTTACAGAAGCAGACTGCCATATCTTTCTCCACCGAGTGGCTGGTGGGTTCAAACTGCTGACCTTTTGGTTACCAGCCAAGTGCTTTAACCACTATGACACCAGGGCTCCTCATTAGCCATTAGGGAGATGCAAATCAAAACTATAAATCGATTCAATGGCAATGGGTTTGTCTTACGCCAGCTTCTCTAAAGAAGTAAAACCAGTGCAGCATATAAATATATATAAAGATTTATATCAAAGAAATGGTAGAAGCTGGAAAGTCCCAAGTCTGTGGGTCATGCTGGAGGCTTCTCCTGACTCACGTAGCTGCAAGGGCTGGCAAACCCAAGATTGTAAGGTCAAATAGCAGGCCTCTGGCTCACAGCTGCAGAGGTCAACGAACCCCAAGATCGGGAAGTAAGAGAGCAGGTAAGCTACTACCTTGAGTCCCAAGAACTGGAGGTCAGATGAACAGGACCCAGCTGCAGAACCCAGAGTGAGCAAAAGCCAGAAAGCCTTGCCAGAAAGTCCATCTATATTGGATGCAGGTCATGCCCCCAAGGAAACTCCCTTTCAACTCATTGGCTGCTCACAACAGATCTCAACATGGAGGTGATCACATTATACCAGATCTCACTATATCATTACATCATTACATAGCTGCCAAACTACATCATAACTGCCAAACCACTGAGAACTGTGGCCCAGCCAAGTTGACACACAACCTTAACCTCACACTACCTCATCCGTATTAAGACGGTAATGATTTAAAAAAAAAAACAAAACTGAAAACAACAGGTGTTGGCAAGGTTTGGAGAAACTGGAACCCTCATCTATTGCTGGTGGGAATGCAAAATGGTGCAGCCACTGTGGCAAACAGTTCGGCAGTTCCTCAAAAAGCTGAACATAGAACTACCATATGACCCAGCCATCTGAATCCTAGGGATATACCCAGAAGAAGTGAAGGCAGGAATGCAAACAGAAACCTGTACACCAGACCTGCAGCACTTTTCACAATAGCCAAAATGTGGACACACCTGAAATGTCCATCAAGAGATGAGAGGATAAACAAACTGAGGTATATACACACAATGGAACAGTACTCAACCATAAAGAGAAAAGCAGTCCTGATGCATGCCACAACATGGACAAACCTTAAAAATGTTACACTGAGCAAAATAAAGTCATTTGCAAAAAGACAAATAGTGTATGATTTCACTTATATGAAGTAAGCAAATATATAGAAACCAAAGATTATTAGTGGTTACCACGGGTGGCAGGGAGGGATAAACGGGGAGTTTTTCTTAGACAGCATTGAGGTTATGTTAATGGTGGTGGAATGATTTGGAAAAGGGTATGGAGAATGGTTGCACAACTTGCAGAATGTAATCAATGTCACTGAATTATACATGTAGAAATTGTTGAATTGGCGTATGTTTTGTCACGTATATTTTCACCACAAAAAAAAATTGTAAATAAAAACATTTTTTAAAAACCATAAACAATCACACAGGGATAACTGTGAGAATGTATTTTGCAATGAGTTTCGTTTACCCCATTTGAAAAAAAATGACTGGCTCTACCGGTCTAGCTAGAACTAGAGGATGGGGGGAAAACCAGAAAAAAAAAAAAAAACCTTTTGCCATCAACTCATACTGACCCTACAGTGAGACAGATAGGGTTAACTGTGCTGGCGGAATAAAAGAGCTCTTAAAAGACTATCACCTAGATGCTCTTTATCACCACTCCTATTTGACATTGTGCTGGAAGTTCTAGCTAGAGCAATAAGGCAAGAAAAAGAAATAAACGGCATCCAAATTGGTAATGAAGAAGTTAAACTGTCCCTGTTT